TGCATGATTAATAATCCGTTGATCAGGAAGTGTATGGGATGTTGAAAGATTCTCACACAACTTGGACTCTAGGTGGAAATAAGTCGCTTGATACTCCGGTGAGATGATATTTATTGATACACTAAACTAACATCCATCCATAATAATCCATCCATAATAAAATTGTAAACAGCTTAATAATGTTAGGTAGGTATCTATTAGTTGGTTTTTAGTCAGTAAGAGTCTGACACTCTCTTCCGCCTCACCCAGGCGGGAGCAGTCATTCGATGATTTTCCCTACGTAAAAAAAAGGAGAAAAAACGGTCGAAAGTATTTCTCCAGAAAATGACGTCATCTGCACAACGCTATCTATCGGATAAAGATCAACTATCAACATTAGTTCTATTAGTCTTAAGGTGTCGTTTCAAGTACCTACTATACTGAATTGCGTGTTGTAATATTTTACTTCTTCAACTCACTAAATTAATCATATTATCTTTTGATAGAGTGAACCACAGGAGTGAACTAAAATCGTTTATTTCAATAAAAAACTTAAATTACAACTATTTCTTAAATAAAATTAAAACTAAATATTACTAAATGAAATATATACAACTTAAGATTAAAATTAATTATAGGAAAAACAAACTATTTACATAAAGCATCGAAAAACTCGTCCGCATCGACGTCAGTGGGGAAAGTACCCAGAAGGCTGGCAGCATTGCCACGTTGTATGGCAATGCTTAACCTCTGACCGAGAAAAAGACCAGCCCTCTGGTCAGGAGTGAACCGATTTCAATGAAACAAAAACTAAGTTATTCCCCAAGTTGCGTAGAATTTTTGTATATAAGTGTTGTCTGCATTGAATTCGTAGATGTTACGTGATGCGCGCACAAACAAACATATAAACAGACAAACAGACAAAAATGTCAAAAATGATGGAAATGGGTTCTGTTCTGTTAGTTATTAGCTAGTTACAAGCTGGCTATTTTTTTGTCAATTTCTTTTCTACAGATTTATTTTATGTATAGGTAGATTATACCAGCTGTGACCATTAACTACTTTATATTTTGTTATTGGCTTGTGGCACCGACTTCTAACCTATCAGTGGCTGTGTAACCTATAAGTAGTTACACACCCACTGTACGTATAACCAATAATAGTTAATTTTTTCCTTTTTAGTTTTTACTTTTCGTTTGTCTTTAGTTATTGAAGTCGGTTTTTTTGAACCACGATATTACGGCTTCACAGAAGACCGACGTGAAACAACGCTTGCGTTGTGTTTCGACGTGTGAGTGAGGTTACCGGAGGGGCCAATCACACCAAATAGAGATACACCAACAACGGTCCAAGTAAAAATTCATGTTCGTGCTACAATTTAGAAATAATACTAGTGTGAGTGAAGAAAGGCAAAAATATTTATGGAACAACTACAGAAGAAAAAGAGGGGTAGATATTGGGAGTCCTGATGAAAAAGTTTGTATTTTGTTTTTTTTAACTCTAAAAGTAAACTATGAGGGTAGGCTAGATTTATGTTAGTATAATTTATTGTTAATTCTATGTGTATCCAATCATGGGGGTGACATTTTCTCTATTGAAAAAACCCTCTTATTTAAAAAATAATACTTAATAAAGATTAAAAAAAAAGTAAACTAATAATATAATAATGTAATTTTACTTTTATTCAATACTTTAGTTTCAGTTAATTATAAGTTGTAAATAATATTTGTGTAGTTATAAATATTTTTATATTTTTAAGCTATTATGTAGACAACATTAGGAATGTATACGGAATGCAGAAGTTCATCGCCAGTTTGCAATATACTTAGTTTTTAAATAAAACACTATGTAATTGTAATGTGTTTAGTAAAAAATAAGTATTTTTTCGTTTAATGACCCGCAAAAGAAGTGTTATTTTTTATGTACGTTTATGTCGTAAATAATGAATTAGATATTCAATATAACAATTCAATAAGTCACACACATATAATTCACTTCACTCAAAAGGATTTACACGATGGCAAAGTATCTGTGATCGATGAGAATTCTCAAGCATCTCCAAATCTTCTAAATCCATCAATTCAATCATATTTGTAAGCATTTATAAGAACCTGTGATCACTTGCCGCCATGCCAACAAGATAACCTCAACTTTCTGTAAAAATTGACTTTGAGTCTCATAGTTAAACTAGGCGTCTCGCGGGTTTATCTTTGGCACCATCATTATAGTAACAATATTAGCGGTAAACTTCGTTTTTTAATAACATTTTATTTGATCCCTGGTTTAAACCTACAACCAAGCCTAGTACTAAAGTAAGTCTGCGTTTTGGAATAAGACGGATGAAGTTTACAACAAGCCATAGGGTAGCAGAACTATGTACCCTACGTAGTTGTCGTTTGTCGTGCAGCAAGCGGCGCCGCGGAGTGTCACAGGCGGCCGGCGGCCGGCGGCGGCAGTGTAGCGGCGCGCGTCCGCCGCGACGGAGGCTCGAGACGCGGACGCCTGCAGCGCGCGCCATTACTCGCTCGGCGCGGAATACTTCACAACTTTTATAACTCACTTTATTGTTCTTCTGGCACTCGATGCGACCTCGGTGCGATCTTAAATAAGTATTTAATGGGATGATTCAAGAACATTAGACGAGTTTCTAGTGAATGCCTCAGTCGCCTGGTAGAGCTCAGTAGTGATGCGATGAGCGGCGTGCTGGCGGCTGTGATATGTGGTGAGAGGAGGCCGCGAGCGCCGCATGGCGCGCCGCCTCGTGCTGAATGGTCTCACGGCGGAGGTGGGCGCGGGCGGCGCCGCGCCGGGCTCCGCGCCGGGGTCGCCGGACTCACTGGAGTTCTACCACGAACTGGAGCTGTACCGTCAACTGCTGGCGCTGTCTGACGCGCCAATTCCCGCGTCACCCGCGCTCCCCACACCAGACCCGCTCCCGCCGCGTTCACTCGGTCAGCGGCGCGCGCGCACGCCTGATCCCACTCCCTCTACAAAGTGTCACGGTACTTGATGACAAATATGTTTTTGTTATAACCGTAAATAAATCTTGGTGCTTTTACGTTTGTAAACACTTTTTAGGCATTTACAGAACATGATTTCACCCGCGCCTGCGGCGGCGGCGGTGACTTTTATTTTGAAAACTCACGAGACCGCAGGTTTGTGCAGTTACGTAGGCGCCGCGGTTGTTTTTATCACCTTGGCGGTTGATTATCGCAGGGCGGGTAAACAATCAATTGAGTTCCAGACCGCTCTCCCATTGCGATTGTCCGCCAACTGAACGTAGAGGGCGCGGATACAACCCGCCGTGGATGCGGGATCTCGACACGCGCCCGCCTGTACATGATGACCACCGGTGCCGCGGGACCCCAAATAATCGCACTTCCCGCGGACAAACACGCGTCGTGAAATGTACTATAATTTTTTACCATAGATGGTGGGTGGTAGGCGCAGGTGGAAATTGCTTTATAAGTCCTTAGCGTTAATAAGCCAAGTCGGCTCGACACTTGCGTGTGACGCCGCACCGTGAATTCCGAACCACGTCCGTGCGAACTGTGTCCTACACTCACAGAGCTACACAGTCGTGTTCGCGGCTGTCGTGGACGACGACATGAATTCTTGCTGTTGTATCACTAGTTGCCGTTTTGTATTACAATTGATCGTTCTGTTAAACATAAGAAGCATAAGAGGAAGGGTGGCAACACTCCAAGTGTCAACACAGCCCGCGTATATTAAATCCGTAATTAAATAAAAAAACAATCAAATTTATGTAAAAAGTAATAGAATCTAGTGAAAAACCAATAATTATTAACTGCTATTGTTTGTGAAAGTCTGTGACGAGTGGCTCGCAAAATAAGACAGTGACATAGTGAAACAAGTTTTTTTGATTTTTCAGTGTTCAATATTATCCCGTAAACGCTAAAACAGTGAGTGAATGGACAATCACTAGTAAACTACACTAAGTGCATTTTTTTATCGTGATAAACAAAAGCAATCACCATAAAAACGAAAACATAGTAACCGTTACATAAAACTTTTAAATTGTGAACTTTGGACTTCTTATTTACATCAACGCTATTAGCCACCAGAGGGCGCCGAACTGACAGATATCAAAATTAATTTAATGAAGTCACGTATAACGGAACGTAATCAATAAGACAAAACAAAACAATTAACACAATTTACTGCTACTGACCGCCAGAGGGCTCTAAGGTAATAATCACTACTACCAACCTAATAAACTGTCACGAAGAAACTAGCGCCATAGACGGATGCAAACGAAGACTTGATGTACTAAAATAGGAAATAAGCAATAGACACAGTCCAAACCAGTGTGGCCATACAAATAAAATATTTACAATTTAAGGGAAAATTTTAATATTAAGTGGAACAAAATTTCAACCTTTTATTTTTGAATCATGGAAGTACACAGAGATTCTAACATTACCTATCGCAACCATAGACTCTTTAAAACAAGTTCACTATGCGATCTTACAACAGATAACTCGGCTCTCTTCGATACGACTATGACAAGTTTACCAAACACATCACTAAACACAAGTCAAACGGTCGTAGACTTACAAGAAAAAGTCAAAAAATTGTCTGAAGAATTAGAGAGTGCGCATGTAGAAATAGAAAATTTGAACTCGGAGAACTTCAGACTGAAAACAGACATTCAAAAATACCTAAAGATTATTGATACCTACAAAGAATTGACTTCTAAAAATGACAAAAAAACTAATACTCCCCTCTCCGGTCGCAAACGTAAAGCCCATCGAGGCTACAAAACACCACACACAAAGCCATTAATTGACGATTCGCTTATTACGCAGACTTGCAGCGATAATACTAGGCCAACATCACAGACAAAGGACACAGTCTTAATGCAAAATGAACGAACTCAAATACCTATATAGGTACTCAAGTACCTATAGGTCTATAGACCGCCTAATAATAATAAAGAAGCAATTTCAGTATTCTTTAATAATCTAGACATGATGTTACATGACATGTGTCTGAAGCGTAAGAATAAAATCATATTATGTGGAGATTTTAATATAGATATCTGCAAAAGCAGCAAAATGTCTGCTACTTTCCAAAACCTACTTCGCTGTTACAATCTAATACTAGGTACTCGCTCCCCAACACGTCTGTGCAGTGGAACCTGCATTGACAATATTATTCATAATATGAGGGGTAGCAGCTGTGAGGTTAAAGAATTTGCGATTTCAGATCATTCAGCACAAATACTTAAATGTCGAGTTAAGAAAAGCTGCACATTGTCTCATTGGTTCAGTTATAGACGTGATTATAGTGATGACAATATCAGGAAATTCACTGAATGTCTACGCAATTTATCGTTTTACGATGCCTATATGTGCTCTAATCCAAATGATGCATTCAATGAATTCTATAATCTGTTTAAGTTGTTCTACGACCTATGTTTCCCCGTCAATAGAATAAAAAACTCAATAATTAGAAAAGCAAAATGGATAACAACAGGACTAAAAAAATGCTCTAAGCGCAAGAGAGATATGCTGTGGGAATATAGAAAAAACCCGAACCTAATAAATAAAAACAAACTTAAAACATACACCAAAAGATTAAATCAAATAATCAAACAGACACAAATGGCACAAAACAATCACTTTATAAACACTGCTAACAACAAAAGTAAAGCCACATGGAGTATAATCAATAAACAAAAAGCAAACTACCCAAAACAAGGAATTGACAGCATAAAAATAGGCAATAAAATTATAGACCATCCAGAACAAATAGCAGAATCACTAAATAATAATTTTATCAATCAAATTGAATCTAGAAGTGACATCAATAATAATAACAATTTGACAATAATCACCAATCCTAATTCAATATTTGTGACACCTACAGTACCCTTCGACATAATAAAAATAATAAACTCGCTCAAAAATACGAAAAGTGCTGGATATGATGACATAACCACCGAGACAATAAAAGCCACAGCTCCTAGTATTGCCCCGATACTTAGCCACATTATCAATGGTTGCATTGAAACAGGCATATTCCCAGAAAACCTGAAAATTACTGTAATCTTACCATTATACAAAAAAGGTGACAACCAGGATCCCAATAACTACAGACCAATAGCGCTTAGTTCGGTATTCTCCAAAATATTTGAAAAGGTGTTACATAAAAGCCTGAACTCTTACTTAGAAAGTAACAAAATTTTAATTGACGAACAATATGGATTCAGGAAAAACAAAAGTATCGATTTAGCCATATATAATCTAATAGAACACGTCTTAACAAACGTAGATAATAGAACCCCTGTAGTGTCATTGTTTATGGACATGTCAAAAGCGTTTGACTTTGTAAACCATGAAATACTAATAAATAAGCTAGAGAAATACGGAATCAGGGGTAATATACTTGAGCTCATAAAATCTTACCTGACAAATAGAGAGCAAATTACATACATAAACAAAATCTGTCCCTACACAAAAACCGAAAAGACATATACCTCTACACGTAGGAAGTGTCTATTCGGAGTACCACAGGGTAGTGTTCTAGCACCCTTGCTATTTATTATATATATCAATGACATGCCTAAAGTAATTAATAACCCAATGATACTATTCGCGGACGACAGCACAATACTATTTAAGAAAACAAAAGATGACGAGACTTTCGAAAAAGATATAAATGACAATTTAAATAACATCATATCCTGGCTAACCAAAAATAACTTAAAAATTAACCTAGAAAAAACGACGTACATATCTTTTGAACAAAGAACTATTTATAAAAATCTAAATATTCACTACGGTGACCAAAAAATTTATGCAACTGATAACACAAAATTCTTAGGCATAAGTATTGACAAAAACATGACATGGAAAACTCACGTTGAAAATATATGCAAAAAGCTCAGCCAGTACTCGTATGCATTATACAACCTAAGAAAAGTGTCAAATCTTCCAACATTAATAATGGCGTATCATGGATATGTTGCATCCACTCTAAGATACGGACTCAAATTTTGGGGCAACTCGCCAAATAAACAAAATGCATTTAAAGCACAGAAAAAGTGTATCAGAGCCATATGCGGCATACAAAATACAGAGAGCTGTAAACCACATTTTCAGCGGCTACAGCTGCTTACGCTTCCATGTCTCTACATATATGAGGTAGCCACTTTTGTTAAAGCAAACCTACACATATATACCCATCCAAAGAGCACACGACACAGACACGAAATATGCATAACACCTCACAAAAAAGCCATATTTAATAACAACATTTTGGGTATGGCACCCAAAATATACAACAAGTTACCAAATGCTATAACTAACATCAGCAGTGTAGACGAGTTCAAAAGGTCCCTACAAGTACACCTGGTAACAAAATGTTACTACTCCATCAAGGAATTTTTAGATGAAAGATGACTGCCTGCTGGATCCGATTTGCATTGGTGGCATTTGTTTTGATTTATATAGGAACAACGAAATTATCAGTAAAACTTTTAGTATGTTGTACCCACTGACTAGGTAATATGACTTAAAAAAAAATGTACTGTTTCACGTTAATCTTGACATCCGCTAATGACTAATTTTAAAATTTTCATCAAGGACATTATCTTTATTTTTATATACATTCGTGACTATTGTAATAATTTATTCGAATGAAATTAATATTCATGACGTTATTAAATTAAATACTTAAATGTTTAACCTAATTTGTATGTGACATATCACAAAACATAGATGGTCAATATTATACCATGAAATGTAACATCCCATTGTACCTATGTTTACAAATAAATATTTTCATTTTCATTTTCATTTTCATTTTCATATAAAAAATATCGGCTTGGCATGAAAACACTCAATGAGAGCCAGATAATAACCATGTATAACGTTCCTAACGTCATGTGCAGATGAGCCGCGGCGCAGTCGTACCCCGGGCGGCGGCGCGCGCGCTCGGCTCCCGCCAGTGCGTTCCACCAGCCCCGAACTCGCTACTGTCGCCGTGCGACACGCCCGGGTATGTACTACCTTATTCATTTACTAGCTTTTTCCTGCGATTTCGTCCTCGCATTAATAACATCAAGCAGAATTTAGATTTCCCTTTCCAAGGCCAATTTTCAACCGACTTCAAAAAAAACTGCGTTTAAAAAAACCGACTTCAAAAACAAAAACAAATAAAAAGTAAAAAGTAAAAAGCAAAAAATAACTATTATTGGTCTAACGTACTTACATATAGCTTACACACCCACTGATAGGTTAGTTAGAAGTGGGTGTCACAAGTTTTACACAATATTATTTATTAAAACCTTAATAGCTACCTAACATTATTAAGCTGTTTACAATTTTATTGTGGATTATACCTGTGACCATTACCTAAGATATATTTTGTTATGGGTTTGTGGCACCAATGGTATGGTATGTAATTGCCAATAAGGGTCTGATGATAAAGTTCTACCATAGTTGAGGGAACTCCTCGACGGTTAATAGTAGCTACATTGTGTTTGGGTTTGATTAATTTTTTGATGAGGACTTTATACCTTGGTGGTATGTGATTGCCAATGGGTCTGATGATGAAGTAGTACCATAGTTGAGGGAACTGCTCAACGATTAACAGTAGCTACATTGTGTTTGGGTTTGATTAATTTGTATTGATGAGGACTTTATACCTAAGTGTGGTGTGGTTGTCACTGAATATCCAATGATGAAGTAGTATGATAGCTAAGAGGACAACGGTTAACAGTGGCTACCTGGTGTTTGAGCTTAAATAATGTATATGGATGAAAACTTTGCACCGATGTGAACTGTACATAATATAATATATTCTAGTACTAAACTAAAAAGTATAAAATAAAAATAAAAAACTGCGTTTAAAAAACCGACTTCAAAAAAAAAACAAACGAAAAATAAAAATTAAAAAGCAAAAAATAACTATTATTGGTCTTGCGTACTTACTTGTAGCTTACGCACCCACTGATAGGTTACAAGTCTGAGTCCATCGTTCAAATACCAAACATTAAATTTAGATTTAAGTTGCCGAATAATAGGGTGAATGGCCAGACTGAAAATGACGGGACTAAGAGGATTACCTTCTTACGAAACAGAGAGTATAGTTCCCTAAGATCGGAAAAGAAGGATGCTCCGACCAGGCGAGGTGATCGTGCCTGGCGGGCTTTCTGCCCAACAATTGTTCTTTGGGATTATCTATCCGTGTTAATTTGCATGTAAACTTTGCATGTGCGATGTAGGATGTTTGTGACGTCATCCGTTGACATGTAACACGTGTCGCCACACCTTGTTGTACCGCAGAATCCAAAACTTTGTCTTTATATAATAATTTTGAAGGTTGTCTATTCTCTCACGATGGTTATTTATTTATTTATGAATTGGAAAACCAACAGCTACACATAGCAAACAAATAGATAATAAAATAACACCAGAAAGCCAATTACAGGTTTTCACGGATAGATTTTACATTATTCAATTCGCAAAACACTCACAGTCTAAACAAATACATCATTTATTGAAAAAATCATAAAACAAAAAGAAAATAAAAAAACAACAAGAGCATACACCAACTAAATAAAAAATATAAAAAGTGAACACACACCATCCATACCACCAACAATATCAAATTAATAATCAACTAAGTTACCCACTTAATTTACTAATTAATTAAAAAACTGTGAGCATCCGTCGCACCGCAGAAGTCCGCGTTACAAACGGATCTATTGGATACTCTTTACACAGGTTGTTTAAGTGTCGCACGCATTATAAAGGAATTCTGCCTATACCTCGTTGAGGAATTTCGAATTAAAAGTGGGGGATTGTAGCGAATTTGCATTTGCATGGGACATGGAAAGAGAGTTTGAACAAGAGTTATTATAAAGAGTTATTATTATAAAAATATTCAAAAAAGTAGTATAATTAAGTAAGTAAGTAAGTCCTCCATGAATTATAAATAAATAAATAAATTTTGAAACCGCACATTCTCGCTGAATATATTGAAGTAGTATATGTACTCATTAATAAGTAGCATTTTAACGTTTTTTTTTTTTTTTTTTAAGGGGGGAAAATCATCGAATGACTGCCCCCGCCTGGGTGAGGCGGGAGGGAGTGTCAGACTTTACTGACTAAAAACCACCCCGTTCCTTCTCCTGCACGTCGAGCCGGAGCCCCGGTTACCCGTTAGGTTCTCCGCGACAGCATTTTAACGTTTAGCTAGTCTATACGACTCAATAATAAAGTCTATAATTTTAACGTTTAGCTAGTCTATACGACTCAATAATAAAGTCTATAAAAAATTAGACGTTAAGTTGTTTAGGTAGGTATTAATCCAGCTGTCAGTCCTCACAGTCTAGTGCACTATTTACTGGACACCTGTATACACATTATAATATTGTATACACCTGTATACACATTATAATATTGTATACACCTGTATACACTTATGAAATTGCTGTTCTGTATGAAAAAAACATGTATTTTTTATTTGTATTAATCGAAGTAATCACCCATGCAATCAATGCATCTTTGTCAACGCAGCGGTAGTTTATTAAAGCGCTTGAAGCGTGGTGATTAATGCTCAAACCTTCTCCGTATGAGAAGAGGTTTTGCTCAGCAGTGGGCATTATAGGCTGTTGGTGTGACTCAAATTGACATATACATAGAAATTTATACCTAACCAATTAATTAATTGACTACATCGCATGAATTTTTGTATTTTTGAGTTTTTTCATGCCAAGAAGTTACCCGAATTTTGGATAAAGTAGTGGCCTGTAGGCGCAAGGTCTGGGGAGTAGGACGGATGACAGAGAGCTGTCAACCTCAGTTTTTACTACTTGGAGATCGTCTGCTGTGCAGTATGAGGTCGCGCGTTGTCATGCAGGAGCAGCGGAGACGAGCGATTGACCTATGCTGGTTGGATATGTTACAGTTTCTCCATCATTGTGTTTAGTTTTTCACAGTATATCCCTTTTGGTAAGAAGCTGTGAGGAATCACACCGGGGCGCTAGACCACCAAACGGTGACCATCACTTGTCTAGGGGTAAGTTTCCGTTTATGGCATTGTTTAGGTGCTGAACCACAATCGAATCAACTTGCTGAGTACTTGCGGTTATCAATCAGAATACCTTTTTCATCGCAGGTAACAATGCGGTTCATAATTCCTTCATTTGTGTCTCTTGAGCAGTCCAAGGCACGTCTCGACATCATTGAGTTCGTGGGGCACCCATTCATCAAGCTTTATCATCTTGTCATTCATTTGACGCTAACGTTGATAGCGGCTGCTGATTCAGCCGTATATTGTGTATCGTCAGCTTCCACAATCGCTTTTAGTTCGTTATTATCGACCAGTCTTGGACGACCGCGAAGTTCAGTTTTCTGGTCAAAATTTCCAGAACAGAAGCGAGCAAACCTGTAAACAGATGGTGCGTTGGTTTGTACTGTTAGGTCCGTAAACGTCGTTGATGTTCGTGTCGTTTGTGAAGGGTTGCTGCCACGACAGTACTCATATTCCATAAATACTTGAAGTTTTAAAGTATCCATTATGACGAAAAAGATTGAAATGCGATGAAATGTTGCATTGATCAATAAACAAATGACTACTTTTTGAAATACATTATTTAAAAATAAAATTTTATATTAGAATTCTTAGCCAAACAAAAATCATTTTGATATAAAATGGCCAGTACTACAAAACGGCAATTACATAGGTAAAGACCTAGTATTGTTCATGCGAGCAGTGGCTACCACTGTAGCGCTACGAACGCTGGGCACCGCTGTAGCGCTACGAGCTCACGCTACGACTTTAGACCTACGATTGCAGTATATATACGATACAAAACTGTAACGACTAATATTAGTATAATGTATTGTATACAATAGTCTGTATAAATATTATTTCGTTTTCACAAGTCAGATTGCGTCTTCTCATTTTGCGGGCACCGTGCTCATACAGGCTGAGTAAATGAACACGCACTTGTGAGCTGGGCACGGCGCCACGCCGGGATTATTAAAATTTGGCAAAACTGCCACTCATTTACCGCTCGAGTGCGCGCCTCCCGCCATCTCATTACTGATACATTATATTAATCATGCCGCGCGATTGCTTACTAAATGGCAACGAATATTACAATTCAAACTATCATACCAACCATGCAGCGGCTTCTGCTCCGTGGAGGACTAGTGATGACGTCGGGGGACAATCCTCTCGGCATTTTACTTCGACCTCACTGCGTGAGGAAGTTATCAAAGTTGGTTATAGTTTGAGCACGTAGTCGTGCGGCGAGTGGTGTACGTGACGTCACGGCGACTAATTGATTGATGATTGTGTGCACTGGGTCCCAGCGCCCGTCGCGCACCACGGCACGGGTGTGCAGTGATGGTAAAAATGAGATGAGCTAATTATATTTGTCTATGTCCAGATATCGTGTTGTGTATTAGTTAATGTGATAGTACCCATGTATTTGTTTGTTTATCTGTATTGGCCCACTGAAACGTGCATACATTAGTACATTAAACAACAAACCTTTTCATCAAATGACAGTAAAGTGCTACAATCGATTACAGGCGAGAACATCAATAAGTCAGTTAATAAAAGCAAAATTAGAATAAAAAAAATAATTTGCATTAATTTACATGAATAAATTAGCAACAAATTAACTAGAGGAAAAAAGTAAAAATGACATTAAATTACAAATTGTCTCTGTTTGAAGTGAGGCTATTTGTACACATGTACACTTGTACACACACACACTTTCAAGTCGCGCTGCTACTGTTGAAGACAACAGCAATATACAGCCAGGCATCTATTCAGTTTGTTTTTTTCTTTTTAATCTGTCAAATACCAAGCGGTCACCGGTGACCGCAACCTATTGTTCTATAATTGTGTCTGCAAAACCGGTACTCGACGAGTTAATAATAATTAATTTTATTTACCCCGGACTTGTGTCCGTGCCCTTGTCATATTACAGGTACATTGTTTTCCTGGTCAAATAATTGTTATAAAGATCTTACATG